TTTTTTTTTTTTTTTGGTGTTGTTTTATTTTAAAAACTGTATTGTATTTTTTATAGTCAACATATTATAATCACTGCAAAAGACTATTTATTTATTTAAAGTATAATTGTGTTGTATACAAAAAAAGTTTGTGAATTTGAGTAATTTTATAAATGTGCAGAACTGAATAAAATACATAATATAAGACAATTTTGGTGCTGTTGTAGGAATAAAGAACATGACGTTTTACCACTGTAAATATTGACCATTGTAATATTGTTTAAGAAACTGTTTTATTTTCTTTGGTGCATTTCTTCGTTCCTTTTAATATCCAACAATATACAGACGGATAATAAAGGGGGAAAAACATAAATCTTTGACCCCTACTGCAGAAATGTTGAAACATTTGAGGCTTGGCTCAGAAATCTTCAGATTTTAACCTGAAAACTTCACAATTTCAGTTATTTCAGAATAAAATGAATAGAAAATATAAGGCTCTGTGCTCTAGTCAAAAGTTATGGCCTTCACAGTCACTTGATGTCAGCCCAGTTGAACACCAATGGGAGATTTTGGACCAACAGGTTAGACGTCATGCTCCACCGCCACCGTCAAAACACAAAAGGAGGAAATATCTTCTGGAGGAGTGGTGCTCCGTCCCTTTAGTACTCCTAACTGAGACACACTGGATTCACATTGTAGATGTGAAAGTGGAAGGTCATCTCATAATGCTTAAAAGTTAAGCTTTGCTTCATCTGTGCTAATGAACAGATATCAAAGGGCTCCTCCATCTTATCATGAGTTGAATATTAGAATTTATATAAGATGCATATAGGGATTGCTCCTGAGAGATGACATGAGGTAAAGACCAGAGACTGAAGTCTGAACCCTTCCCTAAACCTTGCAGCTGCATTAGATTCACATATTAAAGGCCAGTCTACCAACATTATAGAAAAACATCACAAGATCTATCTATTATGAATGATGTTGGATTTTTGCAGATATCAAATATGCTGATATTTTCCAACTCACATTGACTATTGCCAGTGTCAGTGGATGCACATATTTTTTCCATTTTACTGTAGAGAATTTCAAGTCTTTCCTGCTATCAAATGTATGTATTATTGCGTTTACTCTCATCATGATGGTGCAGAAGAATAAAATACAAATGCTTTTCAAATGTACACATTTACTGGACAAAACTACTTCAACTTACACGTCAAACACGCAATATTTACTTTGTGCAACATTTTCCGCTCACAGGTTTTATCGGCATCTCAAGATTCGCTTTCGTTTTTAGTTTTAAAGCCTTTACTGACTGATACTGATCTCGCTGTCTTGCCTTCGGTTTTGTGCTATGTCACCACGATAAGAGCAAAATAGTCGTAAACATTTGTACGGTGACAAAGTACAGTTGAAGAGCTCTGCAAAGTGTTTTAATTTCGATTCACCAACAGTAAATCGTTATTGCCATCTGTTCCTTGATGAGGTTTAACAGAGACGTGTGTCGGTTAAACACGATGTAGCATGTCATCCACCTAATACAGTCTACCCACTCTGACTTATGGACGGATGACGGGTGAAAATAAAAAGTAATGTGCACCAATCTAATAATCTACTCTGCAGTAAGTGGCTTACCTTAATATCTACATAATCCATCAGCAGCTAATGCACTCTGCCTGCACGGACCTGCCTGCAAAGTGATTAACATCAAGTCAGCCAAAATATGGACTGTTGAATAGCCAGTCCATAGATTTTAGTGACTTCACTGGTTCACTGGCATTAAAACAAGACAGGTTTTTGCTTGTAGTAGCTGCATCTCCTCATTGACTGTCACTACGCTGCTCTCTGCACTCAGATACGTCAACTACGGCTAAATGCAACAAGTTCTCAGGATGTTTATATGCCAAAAGACAATGAAAGATAATGAAGTACAAATTTAAGAGGACTTGAACTCTAAATATTGCATACAAAAGATCATGATTAGTTATTTATAGTTTAGCGTGTGTGAGTCAGTGGAGATTTGTGTCAAATGTTAATATTTGTATTGAAACATTTACATCAAATTTGACCAGGAGCACATTTAGAGGGAAAATAATTGCAGTGAAATTACATGGAAATGTCATTATGTACTCAATATGGGAACAGGATCGCAGCAGTTTTGTCATTAAGCAGCTGTGAATAAAAATCCTAATGGAACTTATAAATAACAAGTGTTTCTCTCCATCAGTTACTGATGTGTGATCACGAACTTTATGTGTGTGTTTGTGCAGCAGCGGTCCATGAAAATTAGGACTAACATGAGATAACACTGACTGCCTTTGCTTTCATGCTTGCACACTTCTATGTGATTACCACAAACACAACAGGCCTCATGTAAACACAACTCTCTGTTGGTGTGATTAAGTCTGCAGTCTGGGAGAAACAAAGAAACATATTCTTCCGCTAATGCCGTCTTAGGTTATTACCGAGGGTTTTAATTTGTTGCTGCTGTTCTTGCTTTTGTTGTTGTTCCTGCATCAGAATTATTAGAGTTTGATTGTGTTTCCTGTTTCCTTCCACCCTTCCTATTACATCTTTCGGTAATTCTTTTCTTTCCTAAGTTTCTGTCAGCCAACTGTCCGTGATGTCTGTGCATTCATTTATAAAAATGTGAGTTCTTGCAGTGGCAACTCAGAAGAGATTACAGATTACGTAAAGCTACAGATGCATAATTGCATCAATTCTGCAGCAGAAGCAGTCAGTTAATGATTCAATTTTTGTAAGATAATTGGCAATTATTCTGATATTTTAACAAGTGCTTGTCATTTTTCAAGCATTAATGCCAAACATTCCCAATTCCAGTCTTTCTGATGGGGGTCACTTTGCTGCTTTGCTTTTGCCTTATGTGATATTTAACTGAATATCTTTGTATTTTGGACAGCTGGTGAGACAAAACATGCAGTTTGACTTTGCCTTTTGCACTATGAGGCTGTAAATAGTACATTTTTGACAGATTTTTTGGCATCATGAAAAAACAATCAATTAATTGTGGAAATGAGCGACATATTCATCTATGAATGTAATCATTAGTTGCAGCCCTGATGTGTTCTGTCATGATTTTTCATTTTCCATTTGAATGAATATGATGCTTAAAGCAGAAAAATAAAGGAGAAAGATTATTCACACTGTTGTTCTAATGGGATCTTTGTGCGTGCAAAGTATCTGGTAAGATTCCTGCTGGGGGAACTGGCTTTTATTTAGGAAAAAAAAAAAGACACTATTTGCAAGATTGTTAAATGGCACTGTTGCAGAAACTGACCAACACCAGGGTCACACGACGCGGCTTGATACTGTGAGTCACACACTGAGTAAGTTATCAGTCCCACAGCAGGGCCTCAGCGAAATCCCACTCAAAGCTCCAGCAAATATAACCGGCTATTTAATCTAGCTTAATCATTCTCTCGATCATTTCCCT